CGGGCGGGACACGACCAGCCGTACGATTTGCAAGTGAAGCAGCAGGGAGGCAAATGCTGATTACACCGGAGCGCCGTGCCGTTACTGCAGAAAAAGCAACGCCTTGTCGAATTGCAAATTCGTTTTCATTGGCGGCGCCAAGACTTCGGCCAACGCCGGAGGAGAAAAGTTCCCCAATTTACGAGGCGAATATATTTAAAATGCGCTCTGCTGCGGCGGTGGCGGCGGGGTGGTGGTGGCCGGGGGACGCGGCGGACATGCCCCCCCTCATCGCGGCGTGACGTGGAAGCAGGCCGTGAGGATGGGAGCAGCCAAGGTGTGTGTTGATCGGGATCATCTCGTTTTTGCAGCAGTGTAACCCGCTCCGTTTCGGCGGCGCGGGGCGGTATGCCGCACGGTGTGCCACGCGGTGTGCCGCAGGGGGGCCGGGTTCGCGTGCCGGTCGTTGCGTGCATTCGTACCGCGTAATGGTAGCACAGGGGCAGCAGCCGCGCGGGGACCTGAGGGACCTGGGGGACCGCGCGTAAACGGTATGGTGCCGGGCGGATGTGTAGACCCGCAGTGCCGGGTAGCGGACATGGCCTGACCCTCGGCCTGATCTCTTCTGCCCCTCGCGCCCAAAAACCTACAAAGATCACTCGCGTATCAACTCGTACACCTATGGGCCTTGTGCTGATAATGGCGTAGCAACTCTCGTAAAAGCATGAAGCATCGTAAAAGCATACTGACGGTAGAAATGAAATGTAATTTTGCGCTGAAATGACAGTTAAAAGGTATACAACGAATAAAAGTGAGGCATACACACATGGTGAACCAACGTACTAATGTTTACTATTTCGGACTATTTCGGTTTCATTTCGGGTCCAGGTGTTCCTATTGCCTAAGTGATTTCCACTTCGACTCAAGACGAGAAAAGGAGACAGCTTTAGTAGCGTGCTTCAAATGATGACATGATCATCAACAACAAAACACTCGGTGGAACTTAATATTCTCTTGATTCCCCGTCGGTTTCACATTTCCATACGGCCAGCGGCTGTGCTGGTGCCATAATTGTAGAGTTTTCCGATACGCGAGCTCGCGAGGATATTATTTCTCTTCCGCTGACGCATCGGCAGGTTTACGATCGCGGGCTCGCCTCGCCTGCGCTGTGGATATCGAAACCTGGGGTGCTTCTGCGCCGTTGCGATAATGGTAGTTAATTGTCAAAGTTTTTCAGTTAGCGCCCCTTTTATTGTGATAGCGCCCCCCGCGCGCGATGACACTGTTTGAATGCTCCCGCCGCCCCGCCGCATCCCGCACAGCTTTTCGATTTCACGGCTGATTGAAAAGGGCCTCCGTATTTGCGGTCCAAGTTTTGGGCGGAAGGAAACTTCTTCTTGAATGAGCTCTGGCAGACTGGGGAGAGGGGGGAGGGGGTAGAGGAACGGAGAGGAGAGGGCGGTCACCGCCGGTGGTGGTCGTGACCCTCCTTAGTGAAGACGGAGAGCAAGGAGGAAAGGGGTGGGCGGGCGACTGGGGGAGGAGGATTGGGTGTGGAGAGAGAGTTGGAGTGGAGTTGTGTGACCCAAGTTGTTTCAAATGTTATGTCTCTTATCCTTATGGCGACTCGCGCGCGACGCTCGCGCCCACGCCCTTGGTGAGACACACACGCGCGCGCTCGCATGTGTGCGTGTGTGTGTGTGTGTGTCGTCGAAAGTTTGATCCTCAGAGTGGAGGGGAAGGCCGTCCGTGTGAGACCGGCCTTGATCCTCGACCAGCTGTTCAGCGCCGCCGCCGTCCTTCTGTTGTGACTGAGCCGTGCGTCTATCTGTCTGATTGGCGTGCTTTTCCTTTTTTTGTCCCGCTGCAGGAGGGGCCCGCCTGGACCGTGGACCCGCCGCCGCGCTCCTCGCCAGGGCCGGGCCCGGCCCCCCCGCCACCAGGGCCGCACAGCCCCACGGGGGCCCAGGGCCAGGCCCAGGGCAGAGGGTCCCCGCCCTTCACGCGACTGCACCCCCGCCTCAGCCCGTCGCGGACCTCGCTGCAGTCCGGGAGCCTCCAGTGCAGGTGAGTGGCACATCGCCCCGACGACGACGCCGTTTTCGATATCTATCGGGGTGCTCAACACGTGGCTGCACTAATTTGAGCCGCAGGCCCCTTCTTTGCCCGGGGACGAGGAGGAGGAGGGAAGAAAACTGGCCGTAAAACTGTCAATTCTCACCAACTTACGCTGAGTTATCTTCTCCTGGTGGGGAGTCTCGACCCCGGCCAAACTTGTTCCACCCCCACCGAACCCTCTTCTCCCCCACTGGTGGTGCGCGGCCCCAGCCCCGGCACGGACGTAGGAGCATCTTGGGCATTTGGCGGCATTTGCCCTTTTGCCTCGCCTTTGGGCCCCGTTGCCCGTACCGCAGCGCAGCGGGCTCGACAACCTTCTCCGCCCCTCGCCCCGCGCCCACTTCACCTTCCGGGAACCTTCGCACTCAGGAGTCAGGCGGCCCGGACTCCCGACTCTTCCGCGAGGGCGCTCCCGCCTATCTCAACATTCACAACGCCCGCATTCGCCAAGTTTCAAATATTTTTCTTTGCGTTTTTTTTTCTTCCTAGGCGCTCTTACAGTATTCTGAGGACATTTTCCCCCGTGCCACGACTTTGCTTACCCAACCGTCCCGTCGTCTCCCTCTCCCCCCCCCTGCCCCCCGGGCTCTGCCCTTGACCCCTGTCTGTTTTGCTTGTCGGCCGCACCGCGCCTTGGGCCGCCGGGGCCGGGGGTGTTCGGGCTACAGTGGGGCGGGGCGTCACCGGCCTGTAGAACCGCGGGGAGAGCAATATTGCATTCCAAAGCAGTTCTTTTTGCTTTGGCTCAAGTCTCTCCCTTCCTTCTCATACACGTGTTCAGTTCAGTTCACCCTCTCTCTTACTCTACTCTCTTCCTCCCTCTGCCTCTCTTATGGGCTGCGCGCTGCACCTTGTTAAAAGAAATGTGTGCCCCAGACTCAACAACGCTTGAACACGCTCGGGGTGCAAATGGTCCGTGCGGAGGCGGCCGTGCCCTTGGCGGCACATGAGAAGTTGCGAGCACACATAGTCACACACACGCTCTCTCTCTCTCTCCCCCCCCCTTTCCCCGTTCACCTCTCGG